AAAAGCGATTTTTAAACATGTACGTGTTTCGTAACATTTCATTTATGATTTGATTGTTCACGTCGTCGACGTAATAAAATTGAATCGACGCTTAATGCCGGTTCTTTATCGATTAAATTATTTTGTACAGAACGTTTTACTGCTTCTATAGTTAAAAAACTAAAGTTTGTGAAAAATAGGTTCAAAAGTTAGGCTGTTTTAAATTTATCAATTTTTTGCACAGAGAAATTTTCCTAGAAGACTTAACTGCAAAATTCCAAAAACTATGTGAGAAGATGCAGAATTTTCCGGTGAGTCTTCAAAATTCTTATGGAATCTTCTTTTAGATCAAGGCAAATATTTTTCTATTTTCAGTGTGTCGCAGTTCAACAACTCAGCACCATTCCAAATACTGAATGGTGCTCAAACGAGAAAAATGCTATCAGAGATTTAAATACCAGATTTGTAGAGAATTTAAGTCTCTATCGAATGAGACTAAAACCAGATTTTTAGGTCACTCGGAAGTGTTCCAAAAGTCGCAACCAAAGACTGCCGGGTGACTTTTGGACCACCCTGTATAATGAGCAAAATAACAGTTGATCAAGTGTGAATAAGAGCAAAAATTTTGTTACATATCTGTTCTATTCCCGTCCAGTTTACATTTTTGGGAAGTTCGTTGAATATTTTGTGTGATTTTTTGGTGTTTTTGCTTAGTTCAGGTCTTACTTACTCAACACAGTCGTTGTGGTACTCATCGCGGCAGCCCTTCAAAGCGCGGCAGCGCATAAGCCGGGTGACGTTTGGATCATCCTGAATTACCACTATCATTTAATGGTAATATAGATTGTTTCACTTTTTTCGACTTATAAGCAGCTAACATTTGTAACGACTCGCAATCAAAGGCTAATTTATCAGACAATCCATTGCGAGTTCTCTTTCATTTTAGTATGTATTCGGTATTTTTTGAGCCGTCTCAACAAAAAATTCATCCACACTATCCCGAAGACGGTAAGTTGCTAGAAATAACAGAAAATTTTGTGATGCAATGAATAAACAAGACAAAACAGAAATATTGATTCTTGCAATACTTATCTTGTGTTTGTTTTTAGCGTACCGTTGGTTTAAAGCATGTGGAGGAAACGACGCCATGACAAAGAACTTCGAAAAATTTAATCGCTGTCGGGGGTTGGAAGCATGCCGGGATAACTATCAGAACGGGTGCATCGCATATTACAAGTAAGCCCTTCCTCATGTAGAAAAAACAAATAAATTTCTGTTTTTCTTTTCATTAAGATATCCATCAAAACGTGTAATCTCTCTAAATGATAGTGCTAATATAATGAGCAATATAACAGTTGATTAAGTGTGAATAAGAGCAAAAATTTTGTTGCGTGTCTGTTCTATTCCCGTCCAGTTCATATTTTTGCGAAGTTCGTTGAATATTTTGCGTGGTTTTTTTGTTTAGTTCCATGTTTTTAATGATTTTGTTTAACTTTTTGTTAAGGCTATATGTTTTTTATTGTTATATTCTACTCTTCCATTGCCTGTTTTAACGATACCAAAAAAAGGTTTTTTAATTAAACAAACCAGAACAATTGCGTCTCTTAATTATCTGGCCTTTTAACAATTAAGAAAAAGCACACTTTTCTGTTGTTATTACGATGGAATGCTTAATCAAGAAGAAATTTGTGCATAATGGTTTTATGCTTTCCGCGTGTTGTTATGTAGGGAAAGAAATTGAATTTCTTAAGTTTGTACGATATATGCCGAGTTCTGAAGCCTGAACAACAAAGTATGTAAATCTAGACCGCTTGAATGTTCCTCAAAGTCATCCGATATGAATGTTATTTATTGTAGAAATGAAAGAAAAAAATATAAGAAAATTTTCTAGATCTGTGAAAAATACGAAGAAAACAGCGATCACTTCCCTCAAGGAAACAATGAGATAAATTTCAGAAATTAATTAGACCAATATGATGAAAGTGGGAAATAGCACTAACAACTAGCTAGCATCCAAAACAATATTAACTACAATGTTTCCACCTTTGATACGATGCGAAAGTAAACTTAGCGAAAAGTTATTTTTCGAATAAAAAATCGATTGAGACAAAACGTATCGTATGTAAGATACATTGAAATATTAAAGAGAAAAGCGATTTTTAAACATGTACGTGTTTCGTAACATTTCATTTATGATTTGATTGTTCACGTCGTCGACGTAATAAAATTGAATCGACGCTTAATGCCGGTTCTTTATCGATTAAATTATTTTGTAAACATTGACCAACTATTTTTGGCGTACGAATTTGTTTTGCTGTTTCCAATGTGGATTGTGCCAAACTTTGTGTGGACTAAAACGAAAGAAGAACAAAATAACTTTCTCGTCAAGAATGTTTTTTCAAGAGAAGAGATGAGATAAAATTATCAAAACTGTACATCATTTCTACCACATAAACTTGTAGAGAAAAGACAAAGATACCAAAGCATACTGATAAAAAAGAACTTTCACGTTTTGATGCAGATCTTAAAGAAGAGAAAAAGAACTCATAATGTATTATCTGGTAAATTAGCATTTGATTGCGAGTTGTTACAAATGTTAGCTGCTTATAAGTCGAAAATAGTGACACAATCTATATTACCATTAAATGATAGTGGTAATACAGGGTGGTCCAAAAGTCACCCGGCAGTCCTTCGTTGCGATTTTTGGAACACTTCCGAGTGACCTAAAAATCTGGTTTTAGTCTCATTCGATAGAGACTTAAATTCTCTACAAATCTGGTATTTAAATCTCTGACAGCATTTTTCTCGTTTGAGCACCATTCAATATTTTGGTAATATAATACATTACGAGTCCTCTTTCATTTTAGTATCTATTCGATTGTTCAATAGATTTCGATTCTGTTCCACCAGTGTACATAGGTTTAGGAAATAAATGGTTTGCGTTTTATAGTTCAGATTACATGGTCAAATCTGATAATAATACGAAATGTTATAGTCGTTGTGTGTCGCAAGGTGACGTCCACAAAGTTTTCTGGGTGATTGGACAAGGTCGTTTTCGTCGTTTGTACGCGGTATTTGATTTTGCATATCTTAGAATTTAAGCCTCTATACATAGTTAAAAGAAAGACATTATTACTTAGAAACAATTACATATTATTCTGTTTCACACTGTTCTCGAAAAGAAAATTTCTCTCTTCTCTTCTTCATGTCAGTGCTCTAAACAGTAGTATCTAAACACTATTTCTATTTCGTGACCTCCCCTTCAAATTTACATAGTTATTTCTACATGCAAAACGATAGGAGTAACCGTTTCGGTAAAGATGAACTTTTACATGTTTTATTAGAAATTATGTCATTTTGTTTATTGTACGTTCTATATTAGACAAAACAGAAATAAATAAATGAATAATGAGAAAGCGATTCTTCTTTCTTACCTAAATTCAGATGGTGAGCATACGAACATAAGCGAAAAACAGAGCGAGTAAGTAAAAATCATGTTGATGAACTAATGGATCTCTTCGAATGTTGTCTTAGGTTCGCGATGTTCACATCTAAACAAAATAAACATGCAGGAGATTTGAAGATCGAAAGACAAGATTGATTTATTCTATGACATTATAGTCTCAGCAGAAGTAGAACGTAGAAATTGTGTACGCTTCATAGATACAGAAGAAGTTTCGTTTCACAATAAACTGTTATAGAACTGTCGAATTATGTGTAAAAGATCTGTCTAGTGTGAAAACGCCTGTTTCAAAAAGGAATTCTCATCCAATGCTTTTGTTTGTCATTATTTCCTCTCTCTCCTCTCCACAAATAGGATAGAATTCTATATTTCAATGAGCGAATCAACTTTTAATGTTCGACGGTAGTAGTGTATGCTTGTAATATTAATTCTTTTATTTTCTGTTGTGCATACATATGAG